TAAGACACAAAATGGGAGCTTGTTTTCTCTCTATTCTATGGAGAGATGAAAACTCCAGCCATTCCTTTCATGAGTGAATAGTGGAGACCCAGCTCCTACAGCACACAGAAACCTCCGTGTGTTCCAACCTGTGTAGAAGACAGCGTAGGATTTGCTCCTGTGTCATCCACATCCCCCTGTAGACTTCACATCACACAACACATAATACAACACAAATGCTGTGCAAATGGGGTCACAGAGTAATTTAATATTTGGAGAATGATGAGAAAAATGTTAAACATAAACAGATTTTTTCCTGAACATTATTTTGGTCTGTAGTTGCCTGAACTTACAGAATTTGCAGGTGGTCAAGTATATTATGAGAATGCTGAATCCTAGCTGTTGCTGAAGCAACATAAACACATACTTGATAAAGCCACATATCCAGTCCACCGTTTTATTTTGAATAGTAAGCTTCAATGTCTAACTAATATTTTTTTAATTGAACTAAATGAAAGTCACAGAATACATGTGATAGGGACTATTTCAGCTTTCAAGACTTGGCTTAAATAGTAATTATCCTGATTATTGGTCTGCCTTAGGCGTGTTTTAAATGTTTTGCTCAGTTCCCAGATTGTCTTGATGGGATTTGAGACAGGGTTTTGCCACTCAGTCCAAACTCGCACTCCTGCCTCTGCCTCCCACATGCTAGGCTTCCAAGTGTTTGCCACCACGCTTGCTTCTCAGTCTCTCTCCTCTCTCCTCCTTCCTTGTACCAGCAAAACCCCTTTTCTTACTCCATTAAAGACTTTTGGGGGGAAGGAATTCTCTGGCTAGTAATTTTGGGTAGGAAAATTCTAGTTGACTTGTTTCTCAGCCATCTTTGCTGAGGGCCAAGAATGAGAACTTTCTGTATGTAAGAGAGTTCATTTTCCAGCCAATAACAACACCTGAACTCATGTTTTAATGTTTCACTGCAAAAGGTCTGTTGAAGATGTGCTTAGCTAAACAGCAGAAAAAGTACCCCATGGCTGAAGCCAGGTTTGAGCTTCAGAGCTCCATCTCTCTGTTATTGCAGGAAGACCTTCAGCCTTCTCTGGCCTTGTGACTCTCATAATACAGTGAGATTGACCCAAGTCATATGCTGCTTGAAAGCTTCCACGGTTCTAACTCTGAATAGGAAACAAGGCTGTGGGTTATCTTGATGGAGTGAAAGCTAAGTCACCCTTTCCCCAAACAAGTGACCCTGGGACACAGCTTTCTTAGCATCCAAGTCCTACCCAGATGCGCAGCTAACTAAAGGATGTTACAGTTGACTCAGTCTTGGGCCAGCTATGGCCACATGCTTCCCAAGGAGACCTCCTCCAGGCTGCCCTCAGTGATACTCTGAGCCCATTTTAAACAAGAAGCTTTTCAAGTGTGCATGAGGGACAGCAGCAGGATACTCATCTCTCTTCTGCCCATTGGAGTAGCTGGTAGCCAGCGGGAGTCTCCTGCATGTCTATGAACCCATAAAAACATGCTTGGTTCCTGGGAAAGTTTGGTTATGGAATGTGAAACTTACTTCTTTCTATCTTTAAAACTTTTAATATTTGAGTTTAAAGAAATGAACCAAAAACTTAAGTCAAGCTGACATCACCCTTGAATTTTCTGATGGCATTTTGCTCCACATAAATGGAAATGAAAGGCCCAAGGCCCTTACTCTCTCCTCCTGCCTATGGCAGACCCCTCTCCCAACTCTGTGTCTGAATCTTCCTCCACAGCAGCTGTCATGCTTGAGTTTGTGTCTTCAAATACTGCATTGCCCTAACAATCAATCCCCCAAATACCCTGGCTTAATTTATTTCATTTACATTACCATTCAGGTAACATGCATGTCATTAGCAGAGCTAATAGAGGCTAATTACCTCTCATTACCATCTACTTTGTGTGTGTGTGTGTGTGTGTGTGTGTGTGTGTGTGTGTGTATATATATATATATATATATATATATATATATATATACCATCCATATATATATGGATGGTATATTTAGGGTGTATTACATGTGGCTTCCTTAATGACTTTTATTGATATTTAAAAGTAATACATTAAAAAACATGTCAAGGCTATTTTTAAACTGGTCTCAGCACCCCAGAAATCTGTACATTTCTTAAAGACATCAACTACTGTTTATATAGGGAATTCATGAATGACTCATTAAACAGATGTATTTCTGTCCGTAGGTCATTCTGAAAGCACCACTTCTAATTACAGCACAGCCTTCAGACACATTTCTTCTCACTTACAATTAATTAGTAGGTAGTAGAGTAAAGTGAACTGTCTTGGGAGGCAAGCCAAAGAAAACAGGGATGAAATGTCATGATCGTACTTTATGTCTTCCCAAGTTGAAAGTCCAACTAGATTAGAAAAAAGGCGTGTGAGGGCTGGCATCTCTTAACTCATTGCTGTGTCAAAATGATGGACAAAAACAACCTAAATGAGGAAGGATTTATTTTGGTTCAGGGTTTCAGAGGGCTCAGTTCATACATTTGTATATAACATCCTGGTGGTGAAAGCACACAGGTGAGGAACTTCTCCACTTCATGACCAATAGGAAGAAAAGTTACAAGAGGGTACCAAAAAAAGATATGAGCCCCAAGAACACTCCCCAGTAACTTACTTCCTATAACCAGGCCCACCAACTCCCATAAGTCTATGCAAATTCTGAATTCACCAGTGGATTAAACCGTTACACCAGCTTAACCTCTGCAAGTGCCGTGGCAGACATAGCAAGGTGCGCTTTATGAACATTCTTGGCATTGCTCAATTCATCCACGATGACCAGATGAACCATCATGGGATTTGGTCATCAGGGCATCGTTTTTACTCATGTCTAAGGATGGTGTTGCCCACAAGATCACTTCCCAATTCAGGACAGAGCTATCAGATTTCATTAGTACCGCCCTGCAGAGTGTTTTCAAATAGTTTATGCCACAAAACTAGAGTGTCAACCAAAGCAGATGCAGGCCACCTAAAGGAAAATTTTTAAAAAGCATTTTCCTTTTAGAGAATGTGTTGATTTGTTTATCGGCTTTATTTTGAGACAAGGTTTCTCTGTGTAGCCTAAGGACACCTTTTCTCTGGCCTTTACCTCACAAGTGCTAGGACTACAGGCACAGATCACTATCTACAACTCAGCATCTTGAGTATTTCTATCAGCCATGCCTTCCAGGATCCAGATCCAGATTTTTTTTAAATATGGACAAGATCTACAGATGGTGGTTTCTGTTGCTTTGTAACTGAGGCTCATGTTATTCTCCTGTAAACTGGCACATATACCTGGTACTATGATGACTTTGCTTATGAACACAAGCTGGACACATAGCCAGTGCCTAACAAAAACTGTGACATTACTGAGTTACTACTGTTATTTTGTTACTGGAAATTTTGGGGAATCCTACCATGAGTGCCATCTGTTACCAGGGAAATTGGGGCCCCTTTCAGGATTCTTATTCTTCTTAATGAAAGAATTTAAAAACACACTCAGAAGCAATCTCAAGGACTGTTAGAGTTTAAAAGAAAAATGGAAGGGTAGCAAATTGTAAATCTCAGCAACTCCCCGAAGGAGGGGCCTGGAGAAGAGGAAGAGAGACTGCCATGTGTTTTTAAGCAGCCATATTGAGGAAGCAGTGGGAGGTGGAGCTGAGGTGGGAGAATAGCAAAGGAAGGAAAGAAGTCCAGAGTGTCCAGGAAAGCATGTCCATGGGTCTCTCCTGTTTGATTTCAGAGGTCATGGGTTTTTTTGTTTGGTTGTTTTCTTTTCATACAATCCTAAATGTTTCATGTTGAGAAATCACTATATAAATCTAAAATTCTGGCCATAGAGGACATCTTTGGCACAAACTATTCTTTTCTTTTTGGGTAGTGAAGAAACTGAAGTTTGAGGTTGCTTCTTTGGGTCATGGGATTTTTTGTTTTGTTTTTGGTTATAGTTAATCTGTATATGATAATTGTTTTTGAGACTTTTGGTTTTTTGTTTTCTTGGGTTTTTTTTGTATTTTTTGTGGGTTTTTTTGTGTTTTTTTTGTTTGTTTTGTTTTGTTTTGTTTTGTTTTTGCATCTCTAATGTTTTTCAGCAGAGGTAAGCTTTGCACATCAAATTCCCTCTTTACTCCATGAGATATGCTCGTGTAGGCATGTGCTCTCACCTGGAGGGGAGATGGGAGCATGTGCTCCCATCTCCCGGGCACTGCCCTTGCTCTTAGCCTCTGACTTGTGCTTGTCTCACTTCAAGGCCCCCTGGCATTGTGGCTGGGAAGAACTGTATCTTCCTCTCCTTATTACCTCGTGTTCCCACTGATCAGTTATTTCTCACCTATGCATCCTGCTCAGCTGTGGGATGTATGACTAGCTAATAAGGGGGAAATCTTCAAGCTGGAATAGGAGTGTCATCTCTCATGTGTTTCCTGGAAGAAGGAAAAAAAGAGTAAAGAGCAAGAGCAAGGTCTTTGAGATGCCTGCCTGTCCGACTAGCTCAGATGTCTCCTGAATGAACTAATAAAGGTAGCTCAATAGGTTAATACACCCTAGAGAACGTTACTCTGAAGGAGAGGGGAAATGTAACATTTTGGGGTGTTCTTTTGGCATTTCATGTTTAAAAAAATGTTTCTTATAAAATGTTTTCAATGGGTAGAAATTGAGACATACTTTGTTTAGGTAGCTGTCTAGACTCATTTTATATGGGGGTCATTTTTATAATCCACCATTGCAGTACAGTACCTTATGCTTTTCTGCTGAGGTTCTGGTAAAATTGTCAGCCCAAGTTATTACAGTAAGTCTAATGTATTCACAAGGAATGGGTGGCTGGTACTGTCAGTTAGGTACTAAGAAATATTTGTCTAGATATTTGATCCAATCTGTATTTTTATTTAATTTATAATTGGTGAGAAAATAGCAAAGATAAATTTAAATGCTCGCATCTCTAACCTTGTCACAGTGTCTGAGCCCTCATTCATCATCATTATCTTGGATTCCTACAGCCAGCTGACTTCATAGGAAAGCAGGCACTGAAGCAGATTAAAGCCAAGGGGCTGACACGGAAACTGGTTTGCCTCACCTTGGAAACAGAGGATGTGGATCCAGAGGGAAATGAAAGCATTTGGTACAAGGGCAAGGTGAGTGCCATGGCCATTTCATTACCCACAACCAAACTTCTCCAAGCACCACCAGATGTTTTTTTTTTCTAATTTATTTACTTATTTACTTATTATTATACACTTTTGATTTCTAAGCTGAAAAAAAAACAATGTAATTAACTGACAGAAACTGAAATGCTGCTCATTTTTTTTGCAAGCAGAAGAATCCATCTGCATTAAATATATATAGCCAAATATTTTTTAAAATATTGGGAAACAATATATTTTTATATCCATGAATGCAAAAGATTGATTTTGTAAGGATTGGTCTGATTTAATTTCTCAGGAATCTCTCTTTAAAAGATACACTTAGCATAATATGCACAAATCCAAATGAACACATCATGACACTGAGACCTGAAGCTTAGAGAGTGATTTGAGAAGTATCTGCCATTTGGTTCTTCAGGAAGAATACAATTATCACCGTCTAACTTCAAATTGTCTGTGCCATTCTCAAAGTTCAGTACAACTAGGGTTACTGGGACAGGCCACGCACAGGACTCCATTCCCTTCACTGTTTCTATTTGTAAAGGCCAGCGTGGCTCAGCATTTGGATGATGCTCAGTGAGATGATGGGGAATGGGAGAGAGCACTCACCTCTCAAGGCTCTTTCTAAGAGCTGTTTATTCTGTTTGGAGCAGGGTCAACTTTGTTAATGCACAAAGCTCAGTGATCCTCTCTGATATCTGTCTTCATTTTCTCCATCCCTTCTGTGGTAGCAGCTGGAGGCAGGGAACTTGTGGCATCAAATCATAACCTCACTGAACAGAGAGAAACAAGACACAAGCCTTGTGACATAGAACTAATGTGGCTGACTTGCCTCCACATACCATGTTTTGTTTTGTTTTCACGTTTGCTCATTTAGTTTTACAACATCTGTTTTAAATATGTGTGAGCATTTCTGTTGTAAAGATGAGGCTTTGGGGCTCAGAGGTTATCTTTCATCTTTCTTACCACATGCCACCTGCTAATAGAGTTCTAGCTCAATTACAGGATCCTTCCTCTTGAAACCCCAACACACTCTTGATGCTTAGTATAGTCAACATTTTTGCCATGCTAAAAGCCCTCTTTTTTTAATCTCCATTTTCAAAAATCATTCTTTTAAAGTGTTTTAAGCGCGTGAATTGCCACACTAATTATGCATATTTTCGAACAACAGCGTGACACAATGTGTGGTGATAGGATCATGATCATTGACATCTTCACTATCACAGACTTTGTAATTTCTTTGTGTTAAGTACATTTATTTTTGGTTTTTGTCGTTGATGGTGGTGATATGTGTGTTTGTGTCTGTGTGTGTATGTGAGAAAGAGAGAGAGAAAGACAGACAGACAGATGGACTAGACTTTATATAGCCCTGACTATACTGTAATTTGCTGTGTAGACCAGACTGGCCACACCTGTCTCTACCCTGAGTTCTGGGATTAAAGGCATGCACAACAAAATATCAGAAGCTATCCCTCTCAGTCATATATTCTTTGTATTTTTCAATGATATGTATCTATATATTGCTTTCATTTCCTGACTTTGCTTTAATTTCCCTTGCTTTTGTTATTTGCTATTCTATTCCTGCAAACATTCCCAATTTTGGAGATAAAGAATAAGTTTATGTACTTATTCAACATACTCCTTTTAGTAGTTTACTCTGTGCCTCTCTGTTTACTCTGTGATGTTGTCAGCTAAAAAGAATGAGAATTGTGGACATTGGTTAAAAAAAAAAAAAACAACCAAGGTCAATGTTCTAGTAAACAAACCATGAGGATCTACTAGGTAGAGGGTAGGACAAGTGTCCCCACATGCCCTGAGTGACAAGAAAGGATGGATCTAATTGAGCCCAGAGGAGTTGAGATAGAACAATTTAGAGTTTATGCAAGAAGAAAAAAACTCTTTCTGTAGATTTTATAAGTAAGATAAAAGATTTTGAAATTATCCTTGGCTGCTAACCCCTGGATCAGGAAATAGAAATGAAGTCAATGACAGCACAAAACAGAGCATATTTAAAAATTAGTTAGGTGACTAACTCAGAAATGGCTGCAAGGCAGTTACTGTGGGGATGTTAAGATGGACAAGATGGCTGAGGACTCTTTGAAATGATGACGGCTTGTGGTCAGAGGGCCCCACCAGAGCTCCTGAGGGGTCTTCCTGATTCTCACGTTGCTGGGGCAATTCTCCCATCCCCCACACAAATCTCCATTTTACAGACTCTGAAATTAGACCAAAGTCACCAAGACAGCCTTTAACGCCCATCCTCTTGGACCGAATCCTTGTCTGACCCAAAGGAGAAAAAGCAACTTCAGAGCATGTGCTATGTTTTAGCTGTTTACCACATGTGAGGTGAAAATATTCAAGTCTTTAACTATCCAGTCCTCATTTTAAGTTTAGGCTCTCATGGAGAGCTTCTCATTTGGGGTTTAAAACTGATAATCAAAAATCTAGACCTCAGAGATCAGTGTTAAGTTCATAAGTGTGTTAACATCTAAAAGACTAGAAGGAATGTGAGCTAAACTGAATTATGTCTGAATGACCAGGTGGACTCATGCTGTGAGCGTTGACACAGCCATGCACAGTCCACAATGCTCAACATGGATCCAGAAGGAACAGCAGGATTTATGAGACTGTGTGTGTGTGTGGGGGGGGGTGTGCACGCACGCGTGCACGAGTGTACTTCTTTATATATCATGTTTTGCATTTGTTGTCTTCTTCTATTCTTTTTCCCAAGCAGTGTTTTGACTTAACAGTTTGTTTTGAATTCTGATTTCTTCAAAAAGAGAGTTTTATTTTAAGTGCATGCCTGTTTGCTTGCACATGTGTGTGTGTAATGTTTACACAGTGCCTAAGGACCCGAAATGGGGACCAGTTCTAGGAACTGGAGTTATGGGTAGTTGTGCGTCACAGGACACAGATGCCAGAACTGAAAAGCAAATGCTCTTAAACTGCTGAGCCATGTCTCCAGCCTGGCATTGTGTTTTTATTTCAATGTCATCCTTTCCTTTAGATCTGGCTTGCACTAGCTCTCTTATCTTCTAATCAGACATATTGCATAGGTTTTGATGTTTTGTTTGTTGTTGTTGCATAAGGCCCCTGTTTTCATCTCTTGGCTTTTGATTTCTTGTTTGGTATTGTTTACACCCTAGTTACCTTGAAGCTTGATTTTGATCGTTCATTTCTTTGCCCCATTTCTAACTGAGATAAAGCTCAATTTCATCTAACATTTTTATTGATTTAGCTGTCATGTGCTGGTCAAGCCTCTCTCCTTCTAGAAGCTTTCATCTTCTATTTCTGCCTAATCCCACCCATTTTTCAAATTATAAAGTTAAGTCTTTCATGTTTTCTGCCATGGCTGTTTGGTTCTATTTTCTTGTAGCTCTGTTAACTTCCCTAACTAAGCTGGAAGCTCTTGAAGGTAGATACCAAGACTCCTGGTGATTTCTGAAGAGTCGAGGAAACAGGGTAGAGATAACTATTAACACACAACACCTACCCTGGGTGCCTTATAATTGGCAAGGCTGAAAATGCTCTTCCTTAGACAGTACTTCTCTAAACAGTAATAACACTGGTGACAATGTGAGCATTAAAGGCACCCTCATACACTGTTGGTGGGAAGTTTAAATATTCCAGCCAGTATGTTCATCAGTGTGGAAGTTCCTTAAAAACTAAAATCAGAAAATATAGCCACACCACTCCTGAGAACATACAAAGTAATCTGAACCAGCAACCATAGAGATAGCACACCCACGATCAACAGTATTCACAATAGCAAATACATGGATCAGCTTAGACATCCATCAAAAGACAGACAAGGAAAATATAGTATAAATATCCCATGGAGTTTTTATTCAGCCACAAGAAGAATGTATATAACTGGAAGGCATTATGTTAAGTGACAGAAATCAGACTCAGAAAGACAATGTGATATGTGTCTTTCATCTGTGGAATATAGATTTTAAAACATCTGTAGATAAGACATAAACGTAGAAAGGGGACAGTTTGAGAAGAAAGGACTGGCAGGAAAGGGAAGAAAGGAGTGTGACCGTCTTGGAATGAAACCCCCACTCTGTACATTGAATATATGCTCATAGCCCCCACTGTGAACCCACTCTGTAGCTCAGGAAGCATCTGGACGTGAGGAGCACAAAGCTGTGACCACTCTCCTGATGTGCTGAGGACAGTTCTTCTTTTTTCAGGTGGTTGGCAACACAACATCCGGAAGCTATAGCTACGGCATCCAGAAGAGCCTGGCTTTTGCTTATGTCCCAGTAGAGCTCAGTGAAGTGGGGCAGCAAGTGGAGGTTGAACTACTGGGTAAAAATTACCCAGCAACCATCATACAAGAACCCCTGGTACTCACGGAACCTGCTAGAACCAGGCTTCAGAGAGATGGTAGAAAGACAAAACTTGAAAAGGACCCGTTCCAGACAGCCAAGCTGTAGCTGATAGGACTGCCCTCAAGTCTCACTCCTACCAGGAGAGAAGTGGCCAAGACATCATTTCAAAATCATCAAGATCTAGCTCATTATTTTAGTAAAAACCTTTTAATTGTTTCATAAACACGATGGTTTGAAGAATTGTGCTGTTCTTTCAAATGAAGATTTTAAAATGAACACTTTTTATTACCCCAAGCTGATGTTTATGAAACCCAATCAGGGAAACATTAGGTGTTTGACAATATAAAATCATGATTCTAATGGAATCAAAGGACTGTGATTTTAGGAACAGAGTATGTCGGCTGATAGCTGAAAACAAGTGAATAAATTATCTTTTACATAAAAAGATACAATGACATGGATTTGCTTTTTTGAGAAATTCTTCCTGAGGTGGATAAGTTTAGAGTTTTAACTTTTCACAATTTGTCTACACGGTTGAAATAGCAGCATCTGTTATTAGTTTATTGTGTATGTTGTCATGCAGTTTTTTCAAATGTTTACCAGTTTCTCAATGGTACCTTGGAAAGTGGCTTTAGGGACATTACAATTACCCTTTCCCAAGCTTCCTCTTGTCGAGAGCTTTCAGAAGGAAGAGCCTTCCTAAGGAAGCAGTACTTGTAAATCTTCTGAAATGAAGCTGAAGACTAAATAGATTATGCCAGCACAAACAGTGTTTGAATACTGAGTGCCTCTCTCTGAGAAAGAATTAATGCAAGCTGACATCACACAGTGCCCTTCTGAACAGCTTTTCACAAAACATTTGACAATACAGGTCAAACAAAGGCTTAAGAGCTGACAGGATTACCCTCAGCGCTATGGATGAGAAGGAAAAAAAAAGTTGAGAAATAATCCTTTGATATACTTCGTAAAATCACTAGAATTTAGTTGACTGAATAAATCAGAAGGGTCTTAAGGGCAGTTTATGAATCTATGCATTTGATCCATGGCCTTGAACTTTTCATAGGTATTAAAGAAAGTTGTACTTGAAGTTTTTTAAGATGCTGTAATGAAAATAGACCCTAAAATTATTTTTTACCTTGTAAGTTTTGAAATGACACCAAATTTACGTGTTAAATATTTTATCAAACTAATCATATATTAAGATTCTGTCCCATCATTAGTTCCTTTCGGTATGTCCCCTTACATGCAGAGGCAGCCCTTGGCTACAAATGCTTCCTAACTGTCAGGAATATTATCAAGCTTGAGCCCAGTTCCCAGTTTAGGCTGATAGAAGCCCCTGTGTGTGATTTGGAAGGAGAGCTTCCCATCCTCTCCTCTCTTACCGATGGGCTCATAGTCCTCTTGTACTGAAGCTACAATAGTAAGAAGCAATGTTGAAAGCACAATATTGATATCTAGGCATAGTGGCTCATTCCTGTCCTCACAACCCTTGCAAGGCAGAAGGAGAGGATTACTTCAAGTTCTAGACTCTCTTGGGCTACAGAACAAGACCTTGTTTTAAAAAAAACCCTAAACTAAACAACAACAGAAACCAAACAAACCAAGCAAAAACACTGTACAACAGTGAAATGCACAGGACATGAGACTTGAAAAGAAGTATTCGCTACAGTATTATTGTGGGGCCACTTAGATCCAACACAACTTAAACACCAGGTCAATGAAGATGACAAAAGTTTATTGTAATCAAGCCACTACCAATTGATCAGGGCTGCACAACAGACTTGAGAGCTGAACTTTGACCCTGAGCCATATTATTATAGAATAAGCCTGAATACCACAAACATCTGTGCCAAGTTATAGTTACATTTTTCTATCATTTAGGATTTACAGATAAGAGCTTTTCTTATGTGGTTGGTTTATGTCAACTGATACAGAATGTAGGTTTTACAGTCCAACCAATCAAATCCATTTGTTTTTTTGTTGTTAGGAACAATCATTATGTTTTAAGGAACAAAGAATAAATAATGGGAGCTGTGATTAGGAATAAGTATTATGTTATGTCCTGAAACAGAAGACAAATAACAGAAGCATTTCAGCTATTGGGAAGTCCCCAGCTCCCTAGGGCCTGGGACCTTTAACTTAGTTTTCCCCTATGATTAAATGGAGTCTGAAAACAAAATGGCAGTACTTAGGACAAGCTTCTTTTGCTTGCTCCCAACAGCATAAGCCTCTATCTTGACTTCCCTAGGAAGTTGCCTAGGTTCCCTTTTTTTGTTTATGTTGTGCTACTAGAAGTTAGGTCACACCCCTGAGCTCCTATCTCCACCAGCCAGTGTTCTGACAGTGTGCTAAGCAATCCATTGCTAATCAATTATATACAGCCCAGTTTACAAAGGTGAGCCAAGCAGATGTCTCCCCATGGGATTATGAGCTGCAGCTCACAGAGAACAAGCTGGTTAGCAGGGAGAGTTGTAGTTGAAAAGATAATGCAGAAAAGGATGCTATGAAGCCTACAGGGGATAAGAGTTCCTGAGAAGGGAGCACCAAGAGAAAAAAGAAGGAAAACCAGGTTACCGCACACTCAGCTCCTTGATGTCTTATCAGCCAGCTCTTGGATGAATACTGTGACCCAAAATAGCCCAAGTGAAGTCAGGCATCCTAGCTCAGACCTATACTCTTAATTACATGGAATTCTGAGGCAGGAGACTTCCAAGTTCAAGACCAGCCTGGGCAACTTAGTGAGATCTTGTCTCAAAATGAAAAGTAAAATGGGTCAGGGCTATAGCATAATGGTAGACTACTTTCCAACCACTTATGAGACCCTTAGGTTTGATCCTCAGCTTTAGGGGTAGGGGTAAGGGATAGAAGGGAGAGCCCAAGCATAACCACTTCGTAAATCATATGCTGAGAAATCCCAGAGAACAGCGCCTAGGATTGCAGTGAGCTCTGAACAGCAAACAGTCAGCATTCTTGAAAATACCAGAGTGGGCTGGCAAGATGGTTCAGCAGACAGAAATGCTTGCAGCCAAGCCTGACAACCTAAGTCATTCCCTGGGACCCACACAGTATAAGGAGACAACCAACTCCCACATGTCATCCCCTGACCACTATGCACTCACCATGGCACAACAAGACCCACCCTCTCAATATATGAACAAACAAATAAATAAATGCAATAAAAATTTTTGAAAGTACTGCAGAGATTTGTAAAAGAATTGTACAGGAGAACTATTCTAAAGAACTTATGATGGCTGTACTCAGGGCTGAGCAGGAGGGTGGGGAGTTACAGGCAGTTGTGAGCTACCCAACATGGGTGCTGGGAACTGAACTGCAATCCTCTGAAAGAGCAGCAAGTACTCTGGATTACTGAGTCCCAGATTTCTTCTTTCCAAATTCTTAATTGTATGCAGAGAAAAAAAAACAATAAAAAACACAAACAAACAAAAAAATAAATGATGAATTTTCTGATGAACTGGAATTTTTTTTGTATTTTTAGTTTAGTTTTTTTTTTTTTTTTTTTTTTTTTTACAATTTATTTATTATATATCCCGACTGAAGTCCCCTCCCTCAATTCCTTCCAGTCCCACTCTCCCTCCCCCTTACCACCATCCTTTTCCCCTAGTCCACTGAAAGGGGGAGTTCTCTTCCCCTGCCATTTGCCTGTAGCTTATCAAGTCTCATCAGGACTGCCTGGAGCCTCTTCCTCTGTGGCCTGGTAAGGCTGTATTGCCAGGGGCAAGTGATCAATGAGCAGGCAACTGAGTTCATGATAGAGGCAGCCCCTGCTCCCCTTACTCAGAGTCCCACCTGGGACTGAGCTGCCAGTCGGCTACAGCTGAGCAGAGGGTATAGGTCTTCTCTATGCATGGTCCTTAGTTGGTGCATCAGTCTCTGCAGGACCACCGGGGTTCAGATTTTTTAGCTTTGTTGGTCTCTTGTGGGGCTCCTGTCCCTTCTGTGTCCTTCTATCCCTCAACCCCATTCTTTCATAAGACTCACTGTGCTCTGCCCAAAGTTTGGCTGTGAATCTTAGCATCTGTTCTGCTTCGATCTCCTGTTAGGTGGAACGTTTCAGAGGATCCTCTATAGTAGGCTCCCATCCTGTTTCCTCTCTTCCACTGCTTCTAGTATTTATCCTATTTGCCATTCTGAATGAGATTTAACCATCCTCCCTAGGGTCCTTCTTGTTGTTTAGCTTCTTTAGGCTAGTTTTAGCCTCTTTAGTAGTTTTGAAATGGGATATTTTCAAGTACAGAGATATTTAAAATAATCCAGAATTGTTCTCAAAGAGACACAGACTATTATAGTATGGTTATGAAAGCAGATTCACCAAACATCATTATTTTTTCTAATCACCCATGTGTCTGTTGCTCATGTAAAAGAAACTATGAAATCAAAAGCTCAAAAAATATGTTTTTTTAGTAAATGGACAAATACAGCTGCCATGACTCTTAAACCCTGATGCTTGAAGGAGACTGGTTTTGATGATGTCATTGACACAGTTGTAACACTTGAGGTTTAAGTACAGAAGGGCTGAGGGGCTGAGAGTGTGTTCAGTGATTGAAAGCTTTTGCATAGGACCAAGGTTCCATTCCCATCACCCATAGGGCAGCTTACAACCATCTGTAACTCCAGCTCCAGCTCCAGGGAATCTTGTGCCCTCTTCTGGGCTCTGTGGACACTGCACCCATCTGGTATACATACATACATGCAGGCAAACACTCACATGAAAGTTTAAAAGTAAATTACACACATAGCAGGGCAGTTTATTGCAACAGAATGTGTACATATTAATACTGTCCTTTTTCAAAATGATATTACCCAATATATTTTAGAAATATTACCTCTTTCTTTCAGTTTGCTTATATGGTATGCCGGGAGCCAAAGCTATCTACTGAAGCCAAAGTCAAAGCTATCTATTGGAGCCAAAGCTATCTACTGAAGCCAAAGTCAAAGCTATCTAGTGGAGACAAAAGGTGTTTACTAGGCCAAAGCCAAATAGTGAGCAAAGTTCATTTAGTGGAGACCTAAAGCTATTTAGTGAAAGTTATCTAGGACCCTAACTCATGGGTGATAGACTGTGAGGACATCTGTTTGTTAGAGCATCCGTGAGAAAACATCCCTATGGTATCTTGCAGGCACCCTATTTAACACATGAAAGCACTCTTCCTGTCTCCTGCAGCAGCTAATTACCTTCCCCCTTTTCCTGCCTTCTCCCTATATAAGTTGGGTAAAAATTTCTAATAAATGAAGCTTTGATCAGACAAATAGACTTGGCTTCCTTCCTTGTGCTTCTCGTCCCTTTCCCCCATTCCTTCCACTCTCCTCCCTTAGGAACCCCATTGAAGCACCGCTGGTCAGGGCAATGGTAGATTACATTGATGGATTTCTGTATATTGAACCACCCATGGGAGATCTTTCCATATTCTGATATCTTCTTCTATTTCTTTTTTCAGAGACT